TCCATATGTATATAATTTTAATGCTATGGCCTTTGTGTATATATTTAAAGATGTGCATCTTTAAGCATGACTGTTGAAATTAAATGGTAACACTTTAAAATAAGAGTCCATTTGTAACATTAAGATTAATGAAAGCTGTGTAATGAAAGTATTGTTCCTTGTTAGAGTGTGTTAATTTCAACATTTTTATTATTATTATTACTACTACTACTACTACTACTAGTATGGTTCAGTACTGTTTTTTTAATAAAGCATTATTTTAGTTTTTGTTCAGTATCCATTTTAAAAACTATTGGTTAATTAATCGGTATCGGCCAGTGTGGTCCAACCTAGCTATCGGTATCGGCAAAATCCACTATCGGTCGACCTCTAGTCTTAAGCTAAAAAAAAATCAGAGTCCGTGACCATCATACACTACACAAATTTCTATGAAATATGTCAACTCAGATCTGCAGACTGGCTCTGACTTTCAGCAACTAGCATCAACTTCTCCAGACTGTAAATCGGCAGAAAATCAGGGCAAAAATTGTGTAGCTTATTCCAGCCTCTAGTTTTAGGAAACACAAGCCACCACAAGTATTAGTGCCACCACAACTATTAATGCCTAAGAACATACCCTTTTAGAGTGAGCAGCAGCTGAGCTTTTCAATATGTGACATTGGCAGGTCACAAATAAATAATATATGACATAAAACAATGTCACTGTGTTTCACTTAAATGCAAAAGAATGCTGTATATTTCATTTCCTTGTTTTCAGTTTCAATTCCCCATTCTAAAAGAAACCTTGAAATATAAGCTTACTGAAATTGTGTTCGGATTCATGTGTTGGTGAAATCTGCACTGTGTTCTGGTGTACAAGCAATGATGTTTGCCAGGTAAGCAAAGCAGGATGTTGGGACATAGTTGGCCTTTGTACGCTGCCCTATGATTATGACTTCTTAAACCTTTGAGATGTGTCGTCTGTGACCTTTACTGCTTCACAGAAATGATGTCACAGTGACGGAATAGGATGCAAAGCATGAGGTTGGGTGAGTGGAAAGATATATAGAGAGAGAAAATGAACTGTAGACTGTGATTTAGGATGATAAATGATGTTGGGGATGGAAAGAGACATGTATGCTAGAGGAGCCCTATTCTACATGTATGTGCGGTCGTGCCCGAGTCAATAATGGAGGTTCACACAGAAAAGGGCTTTATTGGATTAGTGTCAGGCATTTGTTCTGGAGACAGGACTGTGAATATCTTTGCTGAACCCTAATGATCAACATCTGTCTCCGCTTTGTCCTTTTCCATTGTCCTTTCCTGTTTTTTGGTTCCCTCCAAAGCTTTTCACCACCATCTAGTACTCGCACACATGCATCAGACTGTCAGCACCAATTAGTAATGCGTGAGTGTAGGAGCCTGTAGAGTCATTATGAGATGATTTGGTGT